GAACGTGCATTCAACGCCACAAGTTTTTTTGTTTTTTTAGCCAATCAGAATTCATCTTCCGAGCCAGTGCAGATCAGCCGCATTGTTACACTTTGAAATGGCGTTATTTATACGTGGTGGCTGTACGCTAACTCTGCTTTCATATATGACATAATTGTCAGATCGAATTAACAAGGAACTTAATATAAATTCAAAAGGCAATTGAATATTCTCATCATCACGGGGGGGGGGGGTGCGCTAGTTAGTTTCGAGTCTGCACACCTTCGCCAGAGATAATAATGTTATCTCAAACTACATGATATCAGCAGAATAAATAACATATTCTAAAAATGCAAAACAAATTCTACTGGTTGGTCAATTTCGACATGTAAAGTAAGGTAATGTGTAGAACTGTTTGATATCAATTACCTATAATGCCTTCAGGGTCATGAATTATGATCCATCAGGGGTGAGTTGTGTACTCGTATAATGAAACTTAGATCGTGGAAGACGCGAATTATATTGCAGTTTATTATAAAATGTGTACTAACTCTAGTAGACACAGTTAATTATCCACATAAATTTAAGTACATAAATGAGCATAAACGCTAAAATTACTTTCACAATAACATATGAATTTTTGCCCTTTCAAATTTTGACTAGCTACTGATTTGACCAGGCCACAAGACCTTTCGGCAATACGAACAAAGATCTTTGCAACAATATCAGTTACATTAATTACCGGCGGTGGCCACAGTCGGTACCAAATCAGCGAAGAATTGGACTTGGCGCAATGAACTGAACCCGTTGGTCTTCCACTTAAATAAAATAGACTATATGTCGGGAAGTGGATGCAAACTAACCTGCCTTGTGGCAATCCTGTGCCACATCGACTGAGATGAACTATATTTTAGAAGAAACATTTTGATGTTTGAATCTGAATAATTGAAATTAGCTAAACGAAAAACGTATCATTTTCAATATTGTATTTCGAATGTATAGAAAACAGGGGTAATGTATAGTATTACGCTTTGGGTAGTAAATTAATATAATAACCAATATAAGGAGATGGGGTTTAGAAATGCTTTGATACAACTAAACTATCTCTAGTTGTTGTTTTAGTAGTTGAGTTACTAGGATACGCAGATAAATCTACGAACATGACGGCAGGACTTAGTCCACAAGGCTTACCACGTATTTTGCTATTCGGCTTTCTACGTGCCTTACAACTAACACCACTGATGTTCGAGTACATTGGATTATTTGGTTTCCGACCAGGCTTACAAGATAGCTGCCATAATAACGCGATATAATATATTCCCGCAGGAAATTAAAGAATACAAAGAAAACACACGTACATACAGGTAATTAGAAAACCCATCCTAAGGCATATACTGTACAAATACCACGTATAGCAATTGATAAAACAAACACGCCATGACACGTGTACCTTCTAATATAACGACGCATTGCCACCAGCCAATCATAGACAGTTTCAACTGTATGTAATTGCGAGATCTCAAGATTACGTGTGATTTGGTAACTGGTACTGAACATGTGTTCCTATGACGGAATTTGAATGGAAAACGACACAGCACGATGTAGTTGCTAAGGTTGAAACCATAACGACGCACCTATCTTTTCCAACGAACTGTAAATAGGTGCCAGAAATACCAATCACAGCGTTGATACTGTTGAAATGTCGGCACCTACCCAGACACAGTTGTCGTTTTGAGTTTAATTGTTACATCCATCTACGTGTTGACGTCACAAACTTGTTACAAAAGCGTATAGTGTAAGTGAATTGTATTTCTCGGCTAGGTTTACATATCAGCAACAGGTTTGCCAGGGAATCGGCCAGGTCACGCGAGATCTCGCCAATAATAGCTATAGCGACGCGTGGTAATGTACTTTTCGAGAAACATTTATGACGTAACTTTGACCTAGCATTAATTGCAGATTTAAATATACAACGTCAATATCTCTATGGTTACTATTGAGTAACCCAGTATAAGCGGATACAGAATTATTCATATCGAGTAAATCTAATAGCTTGGGCACTGCCATGTTACATGGACGTGTTATTGTGTCATAATTCTTAGACACATTTGCATTATTTGAAAAGAACACCGAGATAAATCACCACAATAAAATATCAAAAGGAGGGAGATAAAGCCATAGAAATCCCAGAGACTCCCATCACGGTATGTATATTGTCGCTAATCTCAAATAATACCATAAAAGTCCTGGATAGAGACTGGCGCCATGCAAGGAGAAAAGTGTATCTAGATGAAAATCGATCAGGGCGGCAGAAATAACTATCTACGTTTGGTCATTATTTATTTTTACAGCTCAAAGCTTTAAGGTAAACTTAAGGGAAAACTATAACAATTATTATCACACTTAGCGTGATAACAAAGTAACATGCGTCTTTCTTGGCCATTTGTCGTTCAGAAAGCCTTAATATTTAATGATAAGTGCTATATCTTATCCTTTTCTCAATATATACCGATAACAGACTCAATGAATTTTGTGGGACGAAAAAACAATAATTTCCACCTACCCTATTTGGTCGAAAAAGAAGAGTTTCAGTTAATTATTTTAATGGAAAATTATTAATTGATTTTATACAAATAATTTAGCGGCAATTATTAGTAAAAATAAAACCTTACTCGATCAGTATATAAAAACATACGATCTGGGAGTCAAAATAAAACCGCAGTCGAAATAAAACGCGCTGCATGATAGTTGGTTGAAATAAAAATAACCAACCATAGATAGTTTAACATACGTCGTAAAGGGAATTTAAAATCCGAGAGCTCGAAACCATGACAAACTGATAATCGAACAAAAATATTAAATATAAAGCAATTAAGCGATAAATACATCGCGTAATCAGTAAGATAATAAATGAAAATAAATAAATAAATAAATAAATAAATAAATAAATAAATAAATAAATAAATAAATAAATAAATAAATAAATAAATAAATAAATAAATAAATAAATAAATAAATAAATAAAATAAAAATAGTATAAATAAAAATTAATAGTAATAAACAGTTAATTATGTTGGAACCAATCAATATTACTGAACGATGAGTACGGAAGAAAGGCACAAATCGCAAGAGAATCTATGAGAAGTACATGTGCAATTGCAATAAACTCTGTTCCTTAGAACTAACTTTCTTTACCAATGTCCCGCTAGCTCTAATTTAAACTATAATAATAATTATAATGAATTGAATTTATTTCACCACAAACAAACAATTACAGTCAGTATTACAGCGTTACTAATAAAAAGAAGGAATTTGTGTAGGGGATCACTGAAATAGTTCTACTGAACTAGTCGGGTCAGTGACCCATTTTAAAGTAAACAAACTAGCATGTGAAAAATATAAATCATTAAATAAATAATATGTACATGAAGTCACTTCTTGCATAATAGTTTGTTTCTAATAATAATTACGCTTATTACTCAACTAGCATGACCCTCAACCCGTGTACTGTGAAAATCACTTCCCCGATGATCGTACATAACTAATAACAAAACAATCAGACTAACAGTTTTTTAAGAGAATGTCAAAACATTTTTCAACCATAGATAATTACTAAACATTGAGTATTCAAGGCATCTTCGCAATATAAATAAGTCTGATAGAGGTGAAAAAGAAACGTTAATACACTTATTTTATAAGTGTGATTTTGTTATGGAGTTCTGGGGTGGTTCTGGGAAGTTGTGTGGAAGACATATAGGGGCTTCTTGATATTGATATAATGGCGTATAAAAGATTCTTACAAAATGTCCAGAATATTGAATTCCATATTGCCATTAGAAAAATAAGCTCACTTTCCATATCAAAAAATGGGGAAATTTCCTTAAAATTGTAACATAAAATTTGCGGTATGGTGTAAATCCTCTAGGTATAAATGTATAACTGCTCTACAATGGGGTACATTGTGCGAGATTTTACAATAATGTATTACATGTATCTCTTTATAGTAATGTATGAAATCTCAGTCATGAATAGCTTCTCTACAGTGAGGTACAGATCCTCAAATTATTGTATAACTTCTACTAATCCTCACATTTGTGACTTGTATACCGTAATGTATAAGTTCTAAAAATAATTAAAACTTCACTTTATTGGAGTAATGCATATCTTTATTACAGTGATGTAAAATGTATTTGAACTGAACAATCCAATAAAATACTATTAAATACAAAAACAAAGTCTGATAGAGGTCCACAAATGTCAAAGTAATGGATGTCTGTCAAGGGAATTGTTACTCCTCATGTAGCATTCGACACACACCAAACACGTGAACTTGACATTTGTGATCATGATCATTCTGAATCTCGTGATAATCACCAAAATGCCCTTTGAATGTTCTTATAAAAGATCTGATTTATTTGTTTGGATGATTTAGTAAACTCGACAGCTTGGAAGAATCTTCTCCTGTGTCTGGTAGAGCGTAGACTATATAAATGGAACTTGAGGTGAATATTCAAGATGATGCAGATGATCACAATGTTCTAAGATTCATGCAACGCGGTCAATAATTGTAAGCTATAATGATATATTTCCTTCAAACGTTAGCTGTATATGAACATCTCATGCATGTAGAGACGAGTAAGTGATAAAACTGCCGCTACGCAATGGCTTTGCTCTGTATGCTCCACTTAAGAGACTATGATCTAATCCAACAAACACATCTATCTAGGTGTTGCAACATAGACTTGAAGAATACAAGGCACTGTTTGTTTAGTAATGTATATTCATTAGAATACAATTGACATATACATAGTGACATCATCGTTAATTGTTACGGTAATCACCATTATTATTCATAACGATTTAAATTACTGAAACCGAGAAGTATTGGAAGACCTGTCAATGTCTATTGAATCATCATCATAATTGCATTGGTGTCATCAAATGGGTATCATTTTCTTGGAAGTGACATTTGAGACATCGTAGACACACATATTTCAAATGTCAAAACAAATTTTAAGCCCTTAAAATAAATCTAGGGTAACTTCTTTTTCATCGGTGTTGTCTTTGATGTACTTCATTATATCATCCTGTCCAAATCCACCACTCGCATCTCCTGTCGCCATGGAGAACAGGTCTTCTTTTTCATCCTTGGCCACATTTTTTGTCTCAGCAGTTGGTTTTGGTGGAGGTTTAGGTTTAGGTAATAGCTGAGGTTTTGGCGACTTCTTGGGGGTGGCTTTGTCTAGTTTAAGCAGTTTATCGAGATCGTCTTCAATTCTATTTACAAAAAAATCACAAAAAAACTTTTCAACATTTAAATAATAATACTACACGAGACTGAACTAGGTGAAGATAATGTTTAATTTTAAACAAAAAATATATTCCCTTGGAGCATCGTTCACTAAGAAGTTCACCGCCGAGACGTGTATATGCATGACTATTATAATGGGCGTGTGCATGTATCTAAGTACTCCAGCTTGACAATTGTGTTTGGTTGACAAATATTTAAATACTGTTCAATGATACAGTGGTTATCAAGATTGCATCTTGCAATAATATTACACCGGGTGTATGACTTCAAAATCGCCAACGTTAATAACAACATTCTAAGAACGTTGAAGGACGACAATACCCGGAGCACATACAATTCATAAATAACCGACGCCCAATTTTCATGGACACATTCTGCTGATCGAAATTGCAAATCCAAAAACACTCTACGGGGAAGAGAGTCGCACAATAGATTATATGGTCCAATCAGTGGAAACATATATAATAGCATGTACCCTAAGGCATATAACCGAGGAGTGACGTTAGTATAACGATCTGAGCCTTAATTGGGAAGTAGTCTTTCTTGTGTAGTCAAAATCTTATCTACATCAAATAACTGACATATATATTGTACACAGCTGTTCTCAACTGACATATATATAGTACACAGCTGTTCTCAACTGAAATATATATATATATATACGTGTCCGCTCTTATATAATACTAACGTTAACAGCTCATCTGTATCTTCATCTTCGTCCACTATTTTCACACTGTTGTCGTCATCTTGTGGTACGAATATCTGATCTCTTTTCATTGATGGCTCCATCTCTAGGTCTTGTTCCTCGAATAATAATAATGCTGCTGAACTAACTGTTGGTAACAACACAGATGGTATTTAGTAATTTCTTTCAAATTTACCTTTCAGCAACACTGAAAAATGAAACTGGTATTACTAAAATAGAATTGCATTAAACTGACAGGAAATATGTATTTTATATCACCTTTAAAATCATGGCACTTTCACTAGTTTTTGAAGACAGATAGGTAAAACGAATACCTCGAGCATTCGTCTGAAAACTACTACAAGCATGCTTGTTACAATGAGGAGAGAGTGGCTCGGAATTGTGAACTGTCAAATAGCCCGTGGTGCAAAGTCAACACAGTAACAATTCATTTAATTGGACCAAATGTACGTGCTGGATAAGGAAATTCTCACGGGCATGGTCATTATGGTTTGGATAAGTATGCCACACACAAGTAGTAGTAGGTCACAGCCCGGTTCATGTGAACGCAATATGTGAATATATGCGATGACGTGACTGTAAAACAATGGCGTGATGTGCCTATACGCAATGGCATGATAAATACTGTACATAATGGCGTGCTATTTGGAGGACTGTTGTGTCGTAATATGTGGATGTACGCTATAGCGTGATATGTGGATGTACGCGATAGCGTGATATGTGGATGTACGCGATAGCGTGATATGTGGATCTACGCGATAGCGTGACAGGTGGATGTACGCTATAGCGTGATATGTGGATGTACTCGATAGAGTGATATATGGATGTACGCGATAGCGTGATAGGTGGATGTACGCTATAGCGTGATATATGGATGTACGCTATAGCGTAATATGTGGATGTACGCTATAGCGTGATATGTGGATGTACGCTATAGCGTGATAGGTGGATGTACGCTATAGCGTGATATGTGGATGTACGCTATAGCGTGATATGTGGATGTACGCTATAGCGTGATAGGTGGATGTACGCTATAGCGTGTTAGGTGGATGTACGCTATAGCGTGTTAGGTGGATGTACGCTATAGCGTGATAGGTGGATGTACGCTATAGCGTGATAGGTGGATGTACGCGATAGCGTGATATGTGGATGTACGCTATAGCGTGATATGTGGATGTACGCGATAGCGTGACAGGTGGATGTACGCTATAGCGTGATATGTGTATGTACGCTATAGCGTGATATGTAGATGTACGCTATAGCGTGACAGGTGGATGTACGCTATAGCGTGATAGGTGGATGTACGCGATAGCGTGATATGTGGATGTACGCTATAGCGTGATATGTGGATGTACGCGATAGCGTGACAGGTGGATGTACGCTATAGCGTGATATGTGGATGTACGCTATAGCGTGATATATGGATGTACGCGATAGCGTGACATGTGGATGTACGCTATAGCGTGATATGTGGATGTACGCGATAGCGTGATATGTGGATGTACGCTATAGCGTAATATGTGGATGTACGCTATAGCGTGATAGGTGGATGTACGCTATAGCGTGATAGGTGGATGTACGCTATAGCGTGATAGGTGGATGTACGCTATAGCGTGATATGTGGATGTACGCTATAGCGTGATATGTGGATGTACGCTATAGCGTGATAGGTGGATGCACGCTATAGCGTGATATGTGGATGTACGCTATAGCGTGACAAGTGGATGTACGCTATAGCGTGATAGGTGGATGTACGCTATAGCGTGACAGGTGGATGTACGCTATAGCGTGATAGGTGGATGTACGCTATAGCGTAATATGTGGGTGTACGCGATAGCGTGATAGGTGGATGTACGTTATAGCGTGATAGGTGGATGTACGCGATAGCGTGATAGGTGATTGTACGCTATAGCGTGATAGGGTGGATGTACGCGACAGCGTGATATGTGATGTACGCGGTGGCGTGAAATGTGACTGTATGCAATGGCGTGAAATGTGACTGTACGCAATGGCGTAACGTGCGGATGTACCTAATGGTGTGATATGAAGATGTACTTGATGACTTAACGTGTGGATGTACCTGATATCGTGATATGTGGATTTACGCGATGGTGTAACGTGTTGATGTACATGTACCTGATGGCGTGATATGTGGATATATGCGATGGCGTAACGTGTGGGTGTACCTGATGGCGTGATATGTGGATGTACGCGATGACGTAACGTGTGGGTGTACCTGATGACGTGATATGTGGATGTACGCGATGGCGTAACGTGTGGATGTACGCGATGGTGTGATATGTGGGTGTACGCGATGGCGTAACGTGTGGATGTACCTGATGGCGTGATATGTGGATGTATGCGATGGCGTAACGTGTGGATGTACCTGATGGCGTGATATGTGGATGTACGCGATGGCGTAACTTGTGGCTATGCTTGATGGCGTGATATGTAGATTTACGCGATGGCGTAACGTGTGGATGTACTCGATGGCGTGATATGTGGATGTACGCGATGGTGTAACGTGTGGATGTACCTGTTGGCGTGATATGTGGATGTACCTGATGACGTGATATGTGGATTTACGCGATGGCGTAACGCGTGGCTGTACCTGATGGCGTGTTATGCAGATATATGCGATGGCGTAGCGTGTGGCTGTACCTGATGGCGTGATATGTACGCGATGATGTCAGATATGTCTATTTCGATTTGAAACAGATGTTGGAAACGTTGAAAGGTTACAGATTCATGCCTAAAAATATCGTCAACACGTGTTGATGACATGGATGTTGTCAATCTTATTAGAAAACGATGAGATACTCCATTTCGTCAGAGACCAAGCATATCACACACCACGAGGATCTTTACTCAAGTATAGCAATACTTTGACATAAAATCGGCATATCTGCAAATCTAAAGAGCTCTCTCTTTCACTCTCGCACATTAATTTAGCCAATTACTTTATTTTGTGAAAACTACACGAGCTAGAGTATCAATAACATATTCATCAAATCCATCCGACTTTCAATATATTCATTTACATTTCATCTCGGGGTTAGGTAGACAGTTGCCATTCAAGTCCCTTTATACAAGTATATCAATCACTATTTGCTGTGGGTACTCATTGAAACAGCAAATACATCTACTTATTGATCCTCTCTAATACGATAATACTTCCAGATTATCAAGCATCTCCTGGATACTGTTCAATCATTCCAAAACAGGCGAAAATAATGTACTGCCGTATATATATTAAATTGCAAGTGTTAATCTTCAATTTCCCAAACATCACTTAAATTAATCTAGCTGGCCTCTACCGTCAGTCAATTATTTTGTCTATCTATCACATTCTAGGATTAGTATTTAACTATGGAGATTAAGAATACTCTTGTAACATCAGAATTCTTATATCGACGAGAAACATGAGACCAGTGAAAAAATAAAACTGCCATGTGAATGGTATACACTACACAGTATAAATGTTGTGTATGGTACATACTCAGTCATGTTATGATCGTGATTACCACTCACTCATAATTCAGGCCATGCCCCTTCTGTGACGTAATTGGGTAAAAGTGGCGTTCGTCAACAAATCTATTGTTATTTTTTAAAACGAAAAGCTTTGGTGGACTTATACACATTCATACTTTTAGATTAATACTATTCGGATCTGAAAAAAATATTGTTGCTCAAAAATCTGTTCTCGAGTTCGACGTGAACGATTCCGCTGTTTTACAAACAACACACCTTTACATGCTATTGTAGAAATAACATCAGCGTTTTACCTAACAATTAGCAAAATAGTTTAGTGATGAGAATTTAACTGACGTTAGACGTAAATAGCAGCAGAGATCTCGTTGAGCGTGAAAGAGGCAAAATACTTTTTTTTTACACCTCAAAGAGTATCCCCCCCCCTCCGTCATCGTATCTACCGTTTCCTGGTCTATGCAATATATATATATATAGAACACTATTTGAGAGGGCAAAAACAAGTCTCGTGGCATTCCCGCTCTCAACGAGATCTCGGCGGACATTCATATTGTATCGTTACACACACAGTAGATTATTAGAAGATTGAAATGAGCCTGTTCAAAAGGGTGTTAAAATTGTTAGTGAGTTTTTATTGACAGTCCAACAATCAAATGGATATAACTTCAACACTCACGGTCAAACCCTGGAAGCAGCCATGTTTTTTTTATTAGAGGACGCTTATGCGCGTAATCATACCATATTTGGAATTCGCATTTCCTAATATGGTAGGATGAAAGTACCAAGTAAAATACCGCAAAATTACGACACGTTGTAACTTATGGCGTTACGGTGACAGATATATAACAATATACTATAATATAATATAATATAATATAATATAATATAATAAAATATAGTCATAGTCTAAATTTCTCTCCCCTGGATACTACTAGTTGTCGATAGATTCATACTGGGTCTTTTTTTACAACCTTACATTATACAAGTGCCTTTCAGCGCCATTAACTACCCTACCTTCTGATGCATCATGCAGATTGTTGCAAGTCAGCTAACAAGGTCCCCATTCACTAGCAAACGCTACATAAAGACTCATACACGCCAGACACTTTCTCAAACATTATTTGAATTGCCACCCATCGATCTTCCAATCACACATTCCTGACAGCCTTTGGCGAAAGGAAACCTTATTCCTGATGAGTTCATTGTGACACAAGTCTGTGTTATCATAGATCGCAACAGTCTCAAGGTGACCTGAGTGAATTCTAAGGTACAGTTCAGTTATTGCAGTGGTGAACAATAGGGACGGATGTAGAACGTTTGGTTAGGGGTGCACGCTCATAATGACGTAATTAAAGCTTTGCAATATATGTGTAGGAGTTTCGGGAGTTCTAGTGACGCCCGTTAATATATAGTTTGCCATCAATATAAACCATACAATGCTAATATAATTGGTGGATCACAGTGACTATCTATCAAACAAGAACTACAATTGGTGGACCACTGTGACTGTCTATCATACAAGGAATACAATTGGTGGATCACAGTGACTGTCTATCATACAAGGAATACAATTGGTGGATCACAGTGACTGTCTATCATACAAGGAATACAATTGGTGGATCACAGTGACTGTCTACC